GGAAAGAATGCAGGCTAGGTAAATACTTCTGTTTGGCTGGTCACCTCCGCCTTTTCAGTTATAAGACTTTACTTGTACTTGGGTCTGAAGAAGGGTAGCGAGGGCCAGTACACGCTACTGAAGGGGTGACTCTGTTTACAGGTGCTTATGGCGGGAGCTCCAGGCCAGTCTGTTAGTGCTGTTTGTAGTGTTTGGAAGAGAGCCTGGGAACCTTCTGCAAAAGTGTTCAGGTGGCCGTTGCTTGAACCTTCCACTCTAAAACCTGACCTTCAAGAAAGCTTTTCTTAAGTCCTATGAGCCCTCTGCCTCCTACCCTCACTGCTGCCCCAGCCTTCCCAGAGACCCTGATGAGTATGAGCCTACCTTGGAAGCCAGAGTTCCTCCAGGACTAAGGTGATGCTGAGAACCCTACAAAAGATCAAGGACAAAAACCGAGGTCTCGAAGCCTGGATTTTCAGGGTTTGCATACATTCTCAGGTGCCCTCTCCTTGTGTGCTCTCGGGGCAGCGGGGCTGACAGAGGCACCCATTTGTAGCAGAACTGGGGTGAGGCTGAGGGGATTGGAAAGGCAGGAACAACGGATATTTTCTGGGTCAACACGGGTCAGCTTACCTTGTGCAGTAGGACGTCTCAGGGATATTTTAAAGCAGGCTTTGTCTTGACTACCCTTCAATTCAGATATACTTTTGTACATTCCCTCTGTATTTCAAGGAAAAGAATTTTTTCTCAAAACACCTCTAAAATTAACTCTTTAATTTATGGAAAATGAGTCATTTACAGCTAATTTAGTAAGCAGATAAGGGGAAAAAGTACTCCACACTCCCACCATTCTAACAGAACCACACTTATTTTTATGTATTTGTTTTCTTTATGTATTTTTTACAATCATATTTTTGCATAACTGTAATTATGATGTACATATGCTTTTTATAGATGTAAACTTCTTAATCTGGAATAATTTTAGATCTGCAGTAAAGTTGCAAAGATAGTACACGATTTGTCACATAGCCCTCACCCGATTTCAGCTCTCCCTAATGTTAACCCATCTTACATTACTGCAGTACTGGACATTTCTCAAAACTAACGAACCAACATTGGTACGTTACTTTAAACTCCAAATTGTATTCAGATTTTGCCAGTTTTTTCACTAATGTCCTGTCTCCATTTTGGGATCCCACATGGCATTCAGCCATCGTATCTGCTTAGTTTCCTCTCACCTGTGACGGCCTCTCTCTTTCCTTGTTTTCATGACCTTGGCAATTTTGAGTATAGTCAAGTGTTTTGTAGAAAGTTCCTCGAAGTTTGCTCATGTGTTTATGTTGTTTGTTGTTTTTCTCATGATTACACTAAGGTTATGGGTTTCTGAAAGAATGTCAGGGAAGACGTACTCCTTTCATTGTATCAGTAGGTACATGACATCCAATGACATCTTTGGTGATGTTAACCTTGATTACTTGGTTAAGGTTGTGTTAGCTCTCTCTACTGTAAAGTTGCTATTTTCCTCCTTCTATATCCTTTTATTAAAAAGTGAATCACTAATTCCAGTCTGCCCTCAATGGGAGAAGGAATTAAACTCTACCTCCTGGGAGAAGTTATATATTTTGTTTAGAATTCTTCTGTGAGAATTTATTTATTCAGTCATTTATTTATGTAAGTATGGACTAATAAATATATATTTGACATACATTTTTTCTAACTTTTTCTCACATAACGTTGTGTTACAAGACTTTTTCCCCATGTTACTATCATAATTTATTTTTTTGTTTGAGCCAGAGTCTCGCTCTGTTGCCCAGGCTGGAGTGCAGTGGTGCGATCTCGGCTCACTGCAACCTCCGCCTCCCGGGTTCAAGCAATTCTCCTGTCTCAACCTCCCAAGTAGCTGGGATTACAGGCGCCCGCCACCATGCTCAGCTAGCTTTTGTATTTTTAGTAGAGACAGGGTTTCACCATGTTAGCCAGGATGGTCTCAACCTCTTGACTTCATGATCCACCCGCCTCGGCCTCCCAAAGTGCTAGGATTACAGACATAAGCCACCATGTGTGGCTTACTATCACAATTTTTATAACTGTAATTTTGATGGTTGTATTTATTTTTTATATTTTCCATTAACTGTTTACCCTTATAAATTATGCTCCAGTAAACATCTTTAAACAATATTCTGTGCTTCTCTGTACTCTCAGCTCTGGCATGGTGTCTGGAACACAGAGGCATCTATAGATGTTTGGGATTGACAGATGATTGAATGAGTAAGTAAATGCTGGGCTGCCATTGTGAGTCAGTGGTCCTTGTTTTCCTCTTTAACAGTCTTTTCAATCTTGGAATATGATCATCTAAAATCTAAGTTAAATGTTGGGAACAGAAGTTTGGGAACTTACTGGAAATCAAGTTTTGGCTTCCTGTGAACCACACCAGTTTGTAACAGTGAACAAAGGGCCTTAGAACAAAGTAAAGGTTTTGTATTGTAAGCTATTTTCCTATCTCTAGTTGAAAAACATTTGAACATTTTATCAACTTCAGCAGTCTTTCACATGGCTTTTTCATTCTCCTCTCAGTTTAAATTGTAAATATGAAGATTTTTAAATATGTAGTGTGTGTTTACAACATATAAATACCATCTTATCTCCTGGTTTAGTCCCTGGCGAGGGAAGAGCTGGCAGTTTAATAATAAAGTGACTGAAGGACATTTGGGATGTGTGTCCTCTGAAGATGACTGCTGGACAAACACAACAGGAGCGATTGCAGACGAAGTAGCTGAGGGAGAAGACGGGAGATGAGGACACGCTCACCACTGCAGAGACTTGGTGAGCACTAACAGGGGAGGCAGAGGCAGGTCACAATCCCGCCGCTCATGCCACAGTATGCTGTTTTTTTTTTTTTTTTTTTTGAGGCAGGGTCTTGGCTCACTACAGCCCTCGCCTTCCAGGTTCAAGCGATTCTCATGATTCAGCCTCCCGAGTAGCTGGGATTACAAGCACACGCCACCATGCTTGGCTAATTTTTGTATTTTTGTAGAGATGAGGTTTTGTCATGTTAGCCAGGCTGGTCTTGAATTCCCGACCTCAGGTGATCCGCCTGCCTTGGTCTCCCCAAAGTGCTGGATGACAGGCATGGGCCACTACGCCCGGCCCCTCAAAGTGCTGGATGACAGTCGTGAGCCACCGTGCCCAGCCCCTCATCCCACAAGGTGCTTCTGGTCATTCTTGTTCCACTGAGGAGCAGGGAGGAAAATAATGTATGATGAAGAACAGCTGAATTTGTGTGCTAGTGGCAGAAAAGTAATGAGAGATTTATTTTAGAGAAAAACATCAACAGAACTTGATGACAGGGAGTAGGAAGGAGACAGTATGTGACGAGCTCAGTGTGCCACTTACAGAGGAAGTTGAAGACAATTTTCAAACCTGGGTGATTAATGGTTAGGTTTTGGGAAATATGATATTTATGCTGGTTTTAGACACACTGGTTGGAGACGACACGGGAAATACGGTATTTATGCTCATTTTAGACACACTGGTTGGAGATGACACGGGAAATACGGTATTTATGCTGGTTTTAGACACGCGGCTTGGAGATGACACGGGAAATACAGTATTTATGCTGGTTTTAGACACGCTGGTTGGAGATGACATGGGAAAATGATGTTTATGCTGGTTTTAGACATGCTGGTTGGAGATGACATGGGAAATACGGTATTTATGCTGGTTTTAGACACACGGCTTGGAGATGACACAGGAAATACGGTATTTATGCTGGTTTTAGACACGAGGCTTGGAGATGACACGGGAAATATGGTATTTATGCTGGTTTTAGACATGTGGCTTGGAGATGACAAGGGAAATACGGTATTTATGCTGGTTTTAGACACGCTGGTTGGAGATGACATGGGAAATACGGTATTTATGCTAGTTTTAGACACGGCGATTGGAGATGACACGGGAAATACGGTATTTATGCTGGTTTTAGACACGGCGGTTGGAGATGACACGGGAAATACGGTATTTATGCTGGGTTTAGACACGTGGCTTGGAAATGACAAGGGAAATACAGTATTTATGCTGGTTTTAGACACGCGGCTTGGAGATGACACAGCTTGGAGATGACATGGAAATACGGTATTTATGCTGGTTTTAGACACGCGTCTTGGAGATGACAAAGGAAATACGGTATTTATGCTGGTTTTAGACACGCGGCTTGGAGATGACAAGGGAAATACGGTATTTATGCTGGTTTTAGACATGCTGGAGATGACAAGGGAAATACGGTATTTATGCTGGGTTTAGACACCTGGTTGGAGATGACATGGGAAAACGATATTTATGCTGGGTTTAGACACACTGGTTGGAGATGACACGGGAAATACGGTATTTATGCTGGTTTTAGACATGCAGGTTGGAGATGACATGGGAAATACAGTATTTATGCTGGTTTTAGACACGCGGGTTGGAGATGACATGGGAAATATGGTATTTATGCTGGTTTTAGATATGCTGGTTGGAGATGACACGGGAAATACAGTATTTATGCTGGTTTTAGATACGCTGGTTGGAGATGACATGGGAAATACGGTATTTATTCTGGGTTTAGACACGCGGGTTGGAGATGACAAGGGGACATTTAAGGGCAAATGTTCAGAGAGTTGCAGGGTAGAGCTGGAGCTCCAGTGGGCCAAGAGCACGAGAAAGATGCTAGGTAGTCACAGAAGTGGGAACTGAAGCATCTAAGGCAAGTCAGATGTTGCGGAGAGGAAGACACCTCGTTTTAAGTGACAACTACACCAAGGGTATGGGCAGGGGGCACATGTTCCATGCGCCAGAAATCCAGAGAAGTGAAGTGGTTCGCTCGAGAGGTCTCATGGCAAGTTAGTGACGCAGCCACTCCACCCCACTTTCCTTGATGTGTGTGGTCCCATTTGCTTTACGTTGTAACGGAAACCTTCTCAATGTTCAGATATACCTGCTGTACAGTGGACACAATGCCATTTCTTGACAGTCAAGGAAGGCTAACCAAAGACAGAATTTCATTTCCTTAGTTTATTAAAGATGACAATGAACTGCCAGACTGTGCAAGAACCACGGCAGGTGGAAAGCCAGTTCAGAGCACAGGCTGCACACACAGAACATCTCTACTGAGACTCGCGCTTCTTCTATGGTAATTCAACAAGAGCTCTAAATCCTTGGCAGAGAACGTCAAAACAGCCTCATTTAAGTGGAAGATATTTGTCTTCCACTTTTCTGCTATGTCTTGAATCTTGTCTCCACCTGGTAAGCAACCTATGTTTTTTTCTTTCCCTTTACTTAGAGAAAGAACACTACCCTCACCTTCATTTAGAAGGAATTCTCTTCAGTGCATTCAAAGCTTCTCCCCGCAACAGCAGGGGATTTTCAGATACTGACAAGTTGCAAAGTGCTTCCAAAACATCCCATCCTCTACCCGCTTTCCCCCTCTCGAATAAATAAATAAATGGGTATTTGGACGGTGATGGCAGCAGCGTGTCGGAGTCACTAAAACACGCACGATCTAAAGGGAAGGGATGGGGTGCAGTTGAGGGAGATGGAGAAAAGTAAGTGACAAGTCAGGAGCCTGTGAGACTGTTGAGTTCGGCTTCAGAAGCTGTCAGCATTTTCATCCTTTGATCCTGTGCTGATGAGAAACAGGCGGGACAAGAGAGCACATCTCCAATGACCTGGAGAGGGAGCTGGATGTGTCACTTTTTTGTTTTCGTTTTGAGATGGAGTCTCGCTCTGTCACCCAGGCTGGAGTGCAGTGGTGCGATCTCGGCTCACTGCAACCTCCACCTCCTGGGTTCAAGCGATTCTCCTGCCTCAGCCTCCCAAGTAGCTGGGATTACAGGTGCCCGTCACCATGCCTGGTGAATTTTTGTATTTTTGGAAGAGATGGGGTTTCACCACATTGGCCAGGCTGGTCTCAAACTTCTGACCTCAAGATCTGCCCGCCTTGGCCTCCCAAAGTGCTGGGATTACAGGCGTGAGCCACCATGCCTGGCCTGGATGTGTAATTTAAACCAAACCTGGAAGGAGAGCTCACCATTTTTATAAACCCCTGGGTGTGGACCTGGGACCGAACCCCTAGTGAAACCTGAGTTCCGTGAAGCTCCCTGAAGGGCCCAGGCCTTCCAGTCAGCCCTTCAGAACTGCTGGCCTTGGCCTTAGAGCCTCACTGTGAACAGAAGGGAGAACAGCTCCAGGGTCTTGTAGCCCAGCATGGCTTTCAGATCCCAACTTTGAGGCAGAGGAACCAAGAGCAGGGGCCGGTTCCCACACGTTCCCTCTCGTGCTGGTGGAGCCTCAGCCCTGGCCATCACCTTAAGGCCTCTCCCACCTCCCTGGGAGATTCCTTCTTACCGCCAGCTCAGGCTCTCATCAGCTTCCACCAACCACAGGCCCCCTTCTGTTCAGCTTCCAGGGACGGCGCCCACGCCCATTGTTCTCCTACCAGCAGGCAACTACAGGAAGACGGCCCACGGGCAGAATTCAGTCCCAGAACAGAAATGCTGCAAGCTTTAGTTCACAGAGCTGCCCGCTCTTGGGGAAGCCACTCTGACCAGTGTTTTCACAGAGGTTAGAAGGTGCATCAACTTGAGGAACATTACAAACACACACATGGTCCCATCCAAGGACTTCGCTGTCAACACACACATTAACAGAGGGAGGCAGTACACTAAAATCAGCACTATCGAAAGGACTTTGCCATCAACACACACATTAACGGGGGGAGGCAGTACACTAAAACCAGCACTATCGAAAGGACTTTGCCATCGACACACACATTAATGGGGGGAGGCAGTACACTAAAACCAGCACTATCGAAAGGACTTTGCCATCAACACACACATTAACGGGGGGAGGCAGTACAACCAGCACTATCGAAAGGACTTTGCCATCGACACACACATTAATGGGGGGAGGCAGTACACTAAAACCAGCACTATCGAAAGGACTTTGCCATCAACACACACATTAACGGGGGGCAGGGCGCACACTAAAACCAGCACTATCAAATGGGCAACTGAACAGATAAACATCACCAGGCTACACAGAGTTAAGTGCATAATTGGCATAAAGGCTCTTGTTATCCCAAGAACACAGAACATTTACACTCACATCCACAAACTGTCAAGTTCTGTAACAGCACTAATAGCAGGAAGCTTTTCTCCAACTTTGACCACAGAAGCTAAGGCAAGAGAGACTCGGCCACCAGGGAAGGACGAGCTCTGCTGCACAAGGGGAGAGAGAAGGGAGTTGGGTTGTACTTTCACTGAGAACCACAATGACCATCGAACAGATGACAGAGTGGTCAGGGACACACTAAGAAGAGGGTGGGTGGGGTTCCTGTCCTCACCTTAGGATGGCATCAGGGACTTGCCTGAGCTTCAAAGATCATACCTGCACCAAAAAGCCAGGTTAACTAAAAGAGACCTTAACACCTAAGAGGGGCCGACAGCCCCTGTGAGTAAGTGCTCCTTCAGCAAGAGCTGCCGCCTCACGTATGCTTGTGGCATAAGGCTGCAGACGAGCCTGGCCTAAGCATCAGTTCTGTTCTTTGCTTCAAGCTCACCAGGGCAGATGAAGAAAGTCAGCTTCTGGCATCATCTATACTTCAAATGTTCCAAACGGGAAATCCCAGCAACACAGGGACATTCACGGCTGCCTCTCTGAGGTCTCTGAGGAGTCCAGGATAGTCATGATTGTTGTGTGGCCCCCAAAATACCCAAATAAGCGGACAAAATGCCCACGACGTAGTCTCATTCTCTGCTGCTTCTCCTCGGGGCACGGTCTGACCCCAGTCCAGGACAGGGAGAGAGAGAACGCCACCGTTTCAGCAGCAGGAGGAGAGGTGGCTGAGAAAGGCCTGGCTCAGAAGCTCCAGAACAAAAACAAAGGAAAATTGGAAAAGATACTTGACATGCAGGTGAAACCAGGTCTGGTTCTAGAGGAGAAGAAACCAGGTCTGGTTCTAGAGGAGAAGAAACCAGGTCTGGTTCTAGAGGAGAAGGCCACAGACGCTGGAAGAACTGGGTCTTGCTGTCTCTTCCCCTGACAGAGGCACTAGAAGCTTCACTGAAGGACCCACATGTCAGTTCTGATGAAAACACCTGGAGCTTACAAATTACCTGTCACCACAGACTCTGGACCCATCAACCTACCAAAGGCTGACTGCACATGGACGTCAGACAAGTCAGTAAAAAAAAATGATAATTAAAAAAAAGAAGCAGCCCCAGGTGGGGCAAGTCCTTCAAAGAGTGGCTCAGTTCTGCAATATGTGTGACCCCGGCCCAGACAGGGGCTTCACGTGCTTTCTTCAGGTGGCCTCCAGGACGGCGGCTTCCAGGGCCAACGCTTCGGCGGGCTCCTCCTCGTAGTCCGACAGGTAAGACTCCAGGCTCTGCCTGGCCAGCGCCTCCCGCCGGGCCTGCAGCCGCTCACAGCGCGGACAGCTTCCAGACTTGAAGCAGGCTTTATGGTAACACGCTTTACACTCTGCTCAGGTTGGGAAGGTAGGAGAGAGAAGAAAACAATTTGTATTATCTCCAGCCAGAGGTCAGTTGCTGCCACAGCCCCTTCTCGCCACCAAGGTGCGGTGTCCCCTGGGGAGGCCCTGTGAGGTGCTGAGTGGCACCGAACTCTTGCTAAGAGGGGTGGCTCTGGGGAATCAAGGAGCCCTGTGTTCAGGCTCACTTGCCCGACACCTGCACCTGCCCTCACCTTCACAGGTCCGGCACTTATGGAGCTCAAAGGGAAAGATGATGTCATCCTCATTCTGACAGAACTCACAGATGAAGCCCTTGGCTTGGCAGAGCTGGGGAGGAAAAACACAGATGGCAACATGAGGAGCGGCACATCAGGAACTGGCACAGGAGGGTGAACACCAAGGAGGGGAGTGGTCTGCAGGGTTCTGCTGCCCACAGGGAGGAGGCCTGGGCTGGACTCAGAAGCATGAAAGCTAAACTAGGGCCAGGGCTGGGCTGGGTTAGACACAGCTTTAGGCAGGAGATCAGACAGGCACTAGCCACAGAAGCTCTGACCCCTGGCGTAGCTCTCCGTAAGAGAGGAAAAGGAGGAAATGGCGCCACAAAGGGCTTCCTAAGCCGACAGTCCCATCTGGGTTGTGAGTTATTTCAGAAAAGGAACCACAACCAATTAAGATCAAATGTGGAGACAAGGCTGTTCCTCAAATACAGCACCCAGCCTGGAGTCCGCTTATAGTGAAGTATTTCCAGTTCCTTCCAGACACACAGGGTTCCCTACCTATGCCCAGCTCTAATTCTGGGACTGTCACAGGAACATAAACTGGGCATAGTCTGAGACAGGAAGATCGAAAAGTATAATTTCTGCATTTTTTACATGTTGAGTAGATCACAATAACGATGTACGTTTGTGGAACACATAAATATACAAAACGATGTCACACAAATTAGGATAACAAACGAAGGCCGAGGGTAGAAGCTCTCCAGATTCGAATCCAGAGTTCTCCTCTCACATCATGACAATTCCTTTCTTTTTCTTGTGGGGGATGGAGTCTTGCTCTTGTGGCCCAGGCTGGAGTGCAGTGGCGTGATCTTGGCTCACTGCAACCTCTGCCTCCTGGGTTCAAGCGATTCTCCTGCCTCAGCCTCCCGAGTAGCTGGGATTACAGGCCATCATGCCCAGCTAATTTTTGTATTTTAGTAGAGTGGGGTTTCATCATGTTGGTCAGGCTGGTCTTGAACTTCTGACCTCAGGTGACCCACCCACCTCAGCCTCCCAAAGTGCTGAGATGACAGGCCTGAGCCACTGTGCCCGGCCGACAATTCTTCAGTGAAAGTCTACTCAGTCCTGCCCAGAGCTACCCAGGGCCACAGCCAGCACCAGCTCCTCCCCTCACTCGAGGTTCTTTAGATCGGGGTGCTCTGGCTATTCTCCAGGCTAAGGAACAGCAGTCCTTTCCAGTTCCTCTCCCAGTGCTGACTGGCCGCTTCAACCTCCTCGAGCTAAGTGGCCAGAACCCCAGGTCCACCCCACTCCCTATAACCCTAAAAGCAAGGGCTCAGCTGCATGCCACAGTGAGACCTTCTCACCATGCATCTCTCCACATGGGCAGCCCCTGCCCTGGTGAGCTCAGCAAGCCGGGGCCCCAGCTCCCCCTTCCTGGTCGCTGTCAGATCATTCAGTGAGTACAGGTGGAGGTCCTCCGTCAGGTGGCCCGGGACTGTGTCAAAGGAATCCAGAAGCCTACGGGGAGTGACAGGAGGCAGGGGAGGGAATGAACAGTGCGTGTGCCACGTCGTAGTAGAAGGATCCCTATCCAGAAACTGCAGAAAGTAACAAGGGTGGGCAACGATCGGCCAGCCCAGTGTTCCAGGCCACCCCAGCCGTTCCACACTACTAGGTGTCTGGATGGCAGAAGCGACTGTAGACTCCTGCAGAGTGGTCCACGTGGGATCCAGCCTGCTACGAGCAGCGGCCTGCCCTGGGTGGAATGACCACAGATTCCCCCTCCAGAGAGAAGGACACAGATACAGTTACTGCTGTGGCCTCTCGTTTACCACTTCACATTTCTGCAAAATCTCTCTACTCTCCTCCGTTACATAACAAGAGCCGAGTGCTGGGATGTGTCCCTTTCGGAGACAGCAACGTGGCCACAGGGCTCTGGCTCCACAAAGGACTTACTCCTTGGCCAGTCGACAAGTCTTGAACATGTTCTTCATGTGACACAGCTGGACCCGCAGCAGCTGAAAAGAAAGAGGTGGGGGCAGGAGTGGGAGGGGCATGTGAGAAGAGGAATCCAGTGCTGGAAGCCCAGGGCCTTTAAACCCTGGAGGTCTAGAAGCCTTGCATGCTGCAGCCAGAGCAGACTGTCCTATGCTCTAACTCGCTCTAATTCACTCTGACAACTGGCTTCAGAGTGCTCTCTGCTCAGGGAAGGCCCCTCTGCCAGGTCTGTCTGCCCAAGTCACCTAAGCAGCCTGGGGCAGAGGAGCGCTCTGAAATTCCAGTTTCTCACTAGCTACCCTATTCCTCATTCATTCACTCATGTTTTCAGTGAAGGAAGAAATTCTGCTTTTGCCATCGAGTGCTATCTACAGCTTCATAGCTGCCATTGCCAGGTTTGAGGCTCCAACTAGACAGATACCTGGGAAATGGGAAGAGATTAAGAAAGTACATAGGGAGGGCATGAATGGAGACGGTTACAGCTTTGACACTGCGATGACAAGAAGTGTGGTAATTGTGGGAAGCCCTGTATACCAGGGGAAGGGATGGGGGAAGGAGATGAGGGGAGGGGACGAGGGACGAGGGGAGGGGACGAGGGACGAGGGGAGGGGACGAGGGACGACGGGAGGGGACGAGGAGAGGAGACGAGGGGAGGAGAAGGGCAAGACTCTGAGGTGGCCTTTCCAAGGTCTTACCCGGACTTGATTGAGTAGCTTGACCTTCCTATAGAGGGCACTGTTTATGTCCTGCACGTTGAAGAGAGGATCATTCCAGATCTTAATGAGCAGGTCCTTGGAGAAATTGCTGACGTAGTACTTGCTGAAGTCCCACTTGCGCAGAAGCCGGCTGGGGATGACCATCTGTGCGTTCTCGTGGCAGCACTGGCAGAAGTACTTGCCCAGGTACTCACAGTACCGCAGTCGCTTGATATAATCTGGAAAAACCGGAAAGCCGGAAAGCCAGATGTAACTTTCCCACCTACAAACTGGGAAGGTGGCTCTGCTCTTCCCTTGAAAGGGTGGAAAGGGACAGCCAATGGCCTCTAGCAACCTCTGTCTGAGTTCCCCAGAGCTCGCCGAAATCCAGAGTGGAGCCTGGGGTAATGTCCCACCTTGGAGGCCCTGAGGAAATAAAACCAGCCGCAGTTGGTAAGATCCAGCCTTACCAGCTGGCTGGAACTACCCAACTTTCCACAGTATACAGGCCTGGCCATGCGCTCCCAGAAATCATTTCCCTCCGATCGCCAGCACTCTCGCCTACTACGAACCTTTCTTTCTCCTTCCCTACTTCTGCCACCTCCTGTACCGCCTTTGACACGCCACCTCTCCCTACCTGTGGGGGAGGGTTCAGAGCCTCTGGAGGCAGCGTGGTGGGAAGGGAAGGCACTCACCAGGGTCAGTCCGGATGCCACACCCTGCACAGCGGTAATTCTGCTTGGCCACGGCAATTTTCCTCCTGAGGAAGGATAAGGACGGGGCATTGGCAGATAGCAGCTGCGTGAGGCCTTGGAGGTGTGAGGGACTGAGCACACACACAGCTCCAGGTAAGTGTGGGAAGAGAGGGGAATTCACCTAGGATTCAGTTGGACAACACTGAACCTACTGGGAGAGCCGACTCCATACAGGATTTAGGTCTAGGCAGTGACTCTCCCCAGGAATGAACCACACATTCTGTACAAATGTAAGCAATGACACGTGGTAAAGGAAAGAATGACAGGAGAGAAAAGCGTCCATCCATCTTAGATAGAGAAGAAAGACCAGCAAGCTCACAAAACTGCTGGGAGGAAGGCAACAGGCTGGGGATGCCAGCAAAGCAAAACCCGCCTTGTTTCCAGCTCTGGGACTTAAGAGTAAGAAACGAAGGACAAAATGGACAACCCTCCTCCTCCGCCTTTAAATGAAGAGAACCGTGTGGGAAGGACAGCTGGAGGCAGAGACAAGTGGGAGAGACGAAAACCCTGACAATCCACAGAGGACGGAGCTGTGCTCCCAAGGGCACAGACACTGGCCACTCACGTTGGGGCGGGATGAACATTAAAAATTATCTGAGGCCGGGGGGGCGCCCACTCCAAGTTGCCACGAACACGAATCCGCAGCTTGTAGATGTCAGCATGCTGCCCGTCATCCGGTGAGATGGGCAGTGAGTCAGGGATGGGTAGAAGCTGCAGGAGAAAACACAGCTGGGGTCAGCGCACACGGACGGGCGTGGGACACACAAACGCTGGACCCTTTCGGCCACGACAGAGCATCAGGAGCGAAAGACATTTCAGGACCACCACAGGATAAGAGCTTCAGGTAACCTTGGTCCTCGGAACCAACCAGGAGGCGCCAAGGTACTAGAAGTGAGGGCTGTGGGTTCCAAGAAGCAAAGAGAAACGGCCTCCCACGGCAGTGGCCCCACGGCTCATGTTGTTCCTGCGCCCATTCCAGGACCCTTGCCGTGCCAGGGTGTTTCATGCCTTAAAGACGAGTGCAGAGCAAAGAATCCAAGCAATTCGCTTTTGCGCAGCGTCTCCGAGCTGTTCAGAAACCAAACGTGACTGAGTCTGGCGAGCAGTCACGTGAATAAGGACGGCGAAGGAGCCGTCATCTCCGCTCTGACAAGGCGAGCAAGCGTTCACTGTTCATTTATCACCTGAGCCACTGTAATAAATGGCTTCCAAGAGTAAGGCGGGGAACACACAGGCTCATTCCAGACTGGGGACGTGTGACGAAGGAAAACAAGGTCACAAAGGCTCTTGGCCCCTGGGTAAGGAAGAAGAGCCAAGGACCTACCTTCTGAGGTGCGTCGTGCTCCGGGACGAGCCACTCCAGCTCTGAGGCAGCTGGAAGTTGCATCCCCTCAAACTGCTTCAGGAGCCCCATGGCCACCGCCTCAGCAGATGTGGAGTGCAGGAAGCCGTGGGAGCTGGAAAGGGGAGAATCAAGGACGGCTGAACACAGGGAAAGGACGGGCAGATGGAGGCTTCCCTTCATGATCTCATCCCCCACACAGCAACTTCTGGGCTGGGAGAATACCCGCAGCACCCCGGCCTGCTCATCACCCTCACACAGGAGACAGTGAGAGTCCGCTGGTCTCACAGTCCGAAGACTGCGGTTCAAGCCCCACTTCCTGTCACTACACAGCACTGACACACAGGACAGTGAAAGTCCGCTGGTCTCACAGTCCTGAGATTTCGGTTCAAGCCCCACTTCCTGTCACTACACAGCACTGACACACAGGACAGTGAAAGTCCGCTGGTCTCACAGTCCTGAGATTTCGGTTCAAGCCCCACTTCCTGTCACTACACAGCACTGACACACAGGACAGTGAGAGTCCGCTGGGGTCTTTCACAGTCCGAAGACTGCGGTTTCAAGCCCACTTTCGTGTTCAACAGATACACAGCAGTGCTAATGAAGGACTCTGTCACTTCCTTTCTCTTAACTTCAGCTCCTCTAACAGCAAAATGGAGATCATAATGCCTGCTTACAAAACAAAGTGAGTAAAATTGCTTTGTGGACTAAAAGGCGATTTTTCCTCCCAAATGAGCTACTATTTCCCCTGGTTGGGTCCGTGATGTGGAATCTGTTCAATCTGATTTCATAACCAAAAACCATCATCACTGCTCTCTTTTGAGACCTTCTGGGGCCTCCGGTTATGATGAGAGTCAGCAGAGAAGGAATCCCTCACTTCCAGCTTTGCCTCCACGAGAGCCCGTCCCATTGGGACCAAACAGCTTCTGCTTTCTTCTCGTGGGCTCGCCGCCATCAGCAAGCCCCTCCCTCTGACCTTGCCTCCTCTTACATCTGGATGGCTTTGCCCAGCCATATGCCAAGAACTGGGTTTGTTTCTCTACGTATCCTCAGGTTTTCTTTTTTTTTTCTTTAAAAAGAAAGTACTCACAAGGACTGGGAGGAAACGAAGGATCTGCTGCTTGAGGCTGTGTTCCTTCTGATGTCAGCATCTACATGGAAACCAGAGATAAGGGGAGCGCAATGGAAAGGGGTGGGTGAGGGATCGTGGAATCCACGACGCGGTGCTGCCAGCTAAGCACTCAGGGTAACAGCCAGGAGCCACATTCTACGCAGGATAAAGGAGCAGGTGAAGCTCTACACACAGGTTATAACTTGCCTCTATCCAAGTCAAAACCAGGCTGAATTAGTAACATTATGCACAGCACTGAGAAGGTGAAAAGTGTTACAAACCCAGGCAGAACGACAGACTCAGCTTTGGTGTGAAACGGTGAATGAGGTTCACAGACACAACCCCTCACGTGCACAGACACAAAACAAGGACTCAAATCGCTCCCTCATTCTCCACATCTTAACCTTTCTTGAATGATAAGCTCCCTTAGGCAGTAACTCTGTCTGGCTCTTAGATATATAACATTCAGTGCCTAACACGTAACTTGGATCACAGAGGTTCTCATGAAATACATGTGACATTGGAACTTTGCTTCTAACACTTCACCACTGTTGCCAGCACCCCGAATGTTACAAGTGTTTGGAACTTTGCTGCTAACATCTCATCACTGCTGCCATTTTACCCCTGAATGTTGGAGTCTTCTATATCCTTAGAAAAGCTTCATGGAGGAAAAGGAACTTCTCTATAGCTTTGCAACTCTTTGGAGATGCCTGGTTACCAACACATTCTGACAAAGATGGTCAACATGATCTCTGAGGCATAATTATACAGGAAACTGTGGCAGACCTTCCATAGCGTATTTCTGACAAAGGATTTAGAAGAGGATTTCTAATAACGATATGCCTGAACCTCCAGAGACCTCAGAGACCTCGTCTACCCAAATACTTTTGATGGAGGGGAATGTGAAACACAGCAGTTATGTTCAAGCAAGGCAGACACAACCTACCCAAGTCATGAAAACAAGACTGTTCTGAGAAATACTCTCTCTCACGTCCTTCACTGCCCAGTGAAAAGACCTTTCTTTCCTAATTAAGCCTACACAATGACCAATCTACTCTGAGCACTCAGGACATGAATCTTGTATGGCATCACTGTGCACTGGGCCATGAGTAGCTCTACTGTTCCTCACGTTTCCTCTGTATGCAGATTTTTGTCTGGACAACTAGATTATAAAATCACCCTATTAGGAAATAAGATTGTGTCTCCTTCTTCCCTTGGCTCTAAAATACTTAACACAGGGCTCATATACAAGCATATACTCAAATAATATTGCTGACAAACTAATGTCTTCAAAGCTACATATATGAGTAAGATAACAGAAGTAACAGAAGTTTTCATATGTTCTCTAAGCACAGGACAAGACATCAACACGTTTTTGCTGGTAACTAACACAGCCTACTTAACAACAAAGATGTTCAAGTATACTGTGTTTTCTGGCTGAATCTGTGCCACCAAAATCCAGATCCCAGTGCACTGCTAGTTGTCTTATTTCTAGCTAGTGCTGGTAGAGAAAAGAAAAACAGTAGAGGCAACAGTAGGCCAGACCTTCACAGACTGGTTTGCAACATGTATTTGGGTAACGCTTACACTGCCTTGGGTTGTACGTAAGTCTTGCCTTGCGCTAGTAGCCCTCAGAGTGCTTTGTACATAAAAGTTTTCAGAAAATATTTTCTGAATAAATGATTAATTGGCTAAAAGCAATTAACATCTATTTCAAATTCCATCCTGTTTGGGAGTCACACAAAAGAAAAAAAAAAAAAAAAACTTAGCTATCCCTCAGGAAGGAGCTAACCAATTTTCTTATTTTAGTGCCAGGCTATTAAAGAAAATACTACATGCCAGAAAGAACAGGCAGTGATAATTCACAGTTTCTAAGGAAACCACTGCCTTCATAAAACTATTTAGCAGTTCTTCATCCTCACAAAGAAGAAACTTTTTTTGAGAGAAAAAAAATCATTCTCTCTTTAGAAAATACAACTGAGTCACACTGTAACATGCTTCTTCCTCTCTTTGACTAGAGGTAAAGTGAGGTCGGAGGTACATGCAGGGACTTCCCCTTCCCTGCCAATCATGAATACACCAAGAGTGTGGAGGGGCTGCCCAGCTTCGGAGGCCAGGCTCTGAGCCCGGAGTGGAGGGAGAGAAGCACACCCCATCAAAGGGGCCATGACACCCGGCCCCAGCCAAGGACCATGCAGCTCTGTGGGTCCTGGGCCCGCGCTGCAGCCTTATCACTCTCTCGTCAGCTCAAGCAGACCACTAAGTTGATGTGGGTGAACCCCTAGTTGAAGATCTGGATAAAAGCAGACCGAGTCTAAGCCAGCGAATTGAGGAGTGAAGAGAGGGGGAGCTACCCATCTGGATGGACTCAACGTGTCCCAAGTGAGAGCACTTACGGAGCAGGTCCGAGACTCTCACCATCCAAGTGGAATTTAACATAATTCTGAAACTTTTTATTGATTTTTTTGGTACAAAAACAAGTATTGTTATTGCAAGAGAATGGTTTCAGGTGCTTCTGATGCATAGATGTTAGGTTGAGTAATCGCAATTTTTGCCATTACTTTTGCACCAACTTAATAGAATAAAGCCATTATTTACTGACAAAAAAAAGTCTAAAAATATAAAAATAAATAACAAAAACAATGACAAGTTATAAGGAGAAGAATTTGCTGCGTGTCCAGACACTGGTATTGAATGATCAGAGAAGAGCTGGCTAAAACCTTGGTACCTTAGCAAACTACGCAATTTTTTTTTTTTTTTTTTTTGAGACCGAGTCTCGCTCTGTCACCCAGGCTGGAGTGAGTGGTGCGATCTCCACTCACTGCAAACTCCGCCTCCCGGGTTCACGCCATTCTCCTGCCTCAGCCTCCCGTGTAGCTGGGACTACAGGCGCCGCCACCACGCCTGGCTAATTTTTGTGTTTCTAGTAGAGATGGGGTTTCACCATGTTAGCCAGGATGGTCTCGATCTCCTGATCTCGTGATCCGCCCGTCTCGGCCTCCCAAAGTGCTGGGATTACGGGCGTGAGCCACCGCGCCCGGCCAACTACACAAATTTTTAAACAAAATAAGTGAGTCACAAGAAGAGTCAACTTCAGAATGTACTGGCCAGTTTGACGTTGGTTTCCATCCTGCTTTCTTTCTAGAAGATAAGGTCATACCCAACATATCTGGGAGTCCAAATCCAACAAATTTTCTGTAATTGCTGACTCAAAAGGAAACATTTCAAAATGGAGAACCCAAAGCATTCTTGTTTTATAAAGAGAAAAAATTTAATTTAACAATGGATGAGGGAGAAGCAACTGATTACCTTCAATTGGATATAATTTTGAAACGGAGTTTGGCTCTTGTTGCCCCAGGCTGGGAGCACAATGGCACCACTCTCCAGCTCACTGCAACCTCCGCCTTCCATTTTCAAGCAATCCCTGCCTCAGCCCCAGAGTGGCTGGACTACAGGCAGGCTGCCACCACGCCTGGCTAATTTTTGTATTTTTAGTAGAGACAGGGTTTCATCATGTTGGCCAGGCCTGCTCTCAAACTCCTGACCTCGTGATTCTGCCCACCTCGGCTCCAACATGCCGGATTACAGGGAGTGAGCCACCACACGTGGCCCAGAACTTTTTATTAAAACTGTAAAATATTGTTGGCCACTAGGAATTGAAATAATTATGTGAGATTAGATCAAATTTAGAGCATTAAAGACAAAAGTTCACAGAGGCCTCCCATTTCTCACTCATGTGGAGCAAAAAAGTTGATCCTCATGGAGTGGAGAAGAAGGGGTAGTTTAAGAGGCTGGAGAGGAGTTGTTGGGCATAAGGAGAGGTTGGTTAGTGGTTCAACCACACAGTAGAAGGAGTTAAGTTCTAATTGTTTCAGTTAGCACAGTGTGGTGGGGCTGACACATTGTATATTTCAGCAATATTCAAAAGAGATCTGAAGTGTTCCCAACAAATGACACAATCAGTAAATATTCATAATACCAAGACAACATTACATGTGTAATTAACAAAAGATCAACACAAGCCTGTCAAAAAATGTAACATTAATGACAAAAAGTAAAGCATGCTTATATTTTAAAATCACACAACCTAAAACACTGTCAA